GTTTTTTTTTAACATTTGATATTGGGGGGGGGGGGGGAATAACAGCAACATTTTAAGATTAGTGATATTTTTAAAATGTTGCTTTTCTTACTGCTGTGATCACGCTGGGGGAATCCCACTGGAGCCAACAGGTATGAGCCGTGACTTATTTGAAAGCCACGGCTTACATCACCTGTGCTGAAAACAGAAGGCACAGCCAGTATCTCTTTGAAATCAACAGGAGCATTTCCCCATTCATCCAAGCGCACCAAATGTTATGATTTCAGGTTCATGGTATTGGGGATTTTTAAAATTCCAATGTGCAAAACTCTGAAATGGATATTGGACTCTTAAGTAACTATTATATAAGATTTTGGGGGTCATAAAATGATTGCTTTCTCATATGCGAACTGGCTAACCCTCCACCAATCCCTGCAGACCCTGAGCCTTTTTAATTTAAAATCCCCCCTCCCAGTCAAAATCATCCCATCTTCAAACCATATGCAAACGACATGGGGAAGTATACAGGTATATGACTTTCTCTTTTGCTTGTACTTTTTAAAGCGTGCTTGCTTAGAAACTGGTATGGCCTTATAGAGCAAGAGTCTGGTTTAAGCGTAATTGCAGTCCTCTTTGCACATGGAATCATGAATCATTCCATTGGCTTTAGAATCTAAGCTGTTAATAGGCTAAAAAAGGATTTCTTTTTGCATTATAATTAAGCATGAATATATATTTAATATATTACACTGCCTGGACTGCTGCCAAAGCAATCCTAAACTTCCTTATGCTGTAAAACAATTTGTACCCCCTAACCTCCCCTGACTCAAGTTTTGAAAGCTTTCATCCCATAGCCCACCCACCCCTATAGTAGTCTTCAGTTCATATATTTTTTTTAAAAGTCGCCCCACTTTTTTAAAATAGATATTGCCACATTCTTAAATTCATGCATCACTGCATTGCTATTGCACATGGTGTGTACAGAGGAACCATTTTTCTTGCCTTCTCAAATCATCCATCCTTCCTTGGATTCTGTGCACGGACCCTCCCTCACTGCTTGTGTACATCTTCCCTTCGGACAATCTTGTAGATAATCCAGTAGAAAATGTTGAAGATGAGGAAAGCCATGGGGAAGCCGATCCGCGATATCTTATCTATCTTCTTGGCCCGCTGGATAAAAAGCTTGCGCATTTCGTCGGCAGACTTTGAAGGAGGCGGGGCTGGGTTGGCCGTATTGTTGTTGTTGGCTCCTTTCACCGAGATGCCGTCCTTGGCTTGCAGGCAGGCAGGTCCCATCCCATAGGCGGAGAAGTTGAACCTGCCTTCCCCAGTATCATCCTCCTGAAATATATTGAACATAGGGCTCTACTTACAAATAAGATATAGACAGTGCACCCTCGCTATAAGGCTCTCCTGCCATGAGTCCCAGTGCAACTGGGGATACGTATCTCCCATGATGCTTTGCTCAAGGGGGGGGCAACCCTTTCCTGAGGAGATCAGCCTTATAGATGGGTGCAGTGGAATGTACAGATGCAAAGCAGGGGATCTGTTTAAGACCGGAAAGTGGATTGATCTGTCTTTCCTTCTGGAGGCATTTTTTTTTCTTTCAATAAATATATCCCCTGTTTTGCTTCTGCCCCTCCTCCCCATCCATACCTTCTTTATCATTGGCTTGCCCAGAAGGAGTGGGCTCCATGTAACTCTTATAGTAAAATTCATTCCGTGAAAGTTTCTATGGAGTTACATGGACTTTTAGCATAAAGGGTCATCCATTAAAAGATACCTGTATGCATCACGAATTGACTGTATTCCTGATGAATCTTGCCCTTTCCTTTCTCTTCTTTTGTGCTGCCATTCGACTCTGTGCTTCCTATCGCCACCTTTTAAACAGGTTGTTGAAGTAGTAGAGGGAAGCATACCTACTCCATAGACTCAGACTAGTTTAACAGTTATTCATTTTTTTCAAGGAATCAGAACTACATATGTATTGTAGGAATTGTATGTGCTAAGAATTCTCACCAGCTTCCAAATCTCAGGATTCTCCACAGGCAACCCTACCATTAAACTAAAATACAATTTAATATGATCTACAGTATAGCTGTGCCCCAAGAGTTTGATTGCCAGTGACTTCACTTGCCATGCAAGCATGCCTTTGGATGGGTAGAAGCTAGCAGAGGATAACAGGAATTAAAAATGTTATTTCCTCTACCTTAAGAGGAGCAGCTGAATAATTTGTTTAATTTAATTTAATAGACCTATTCTGACAGTTTAAAAATGAAAAAAAATAATTAGAGATTAGGAGGATACCAGTGTGGCAATACTCATGTTTTATGTATAACCTATTTTACAGAGACTATACATTGAATTCTCTCCCTCTTCTTCCTGGCATTGATGAATAATAAGACAGGATAACCAAGATTATTCATTGCAATAATACAATGAATCATAAAGAATTCTTTGATTTTATGTAATTTACCATACTGAGAAAACAAAAGGGGACTTCAAACTTAGGTGTTACCCCTATTTCATATCTGGAGTGATTGAATCAAAGTGATCTGGTCAAAGTATGGAGCCAGGAAGAGAAACCAATTTAACCATTGGTCCTTACTTCAGAATCTTAGTTAGCTGCTATGGTCCTCTAAAGCAGGAGTCCCCAACCTTGATAAGCCTGTGTGCACTTTGGGGGTTTTGTAAACAAGTAATCAGGGAAGGTCTTAGTGATTCTGGGGCCATGGGCAAATGTCCAGGATGTGGGCCCAGAGCCACTGCCCCCTGTCACTGGGGCCCCTCTGGTACATGCCCCTGCCAGGGGCAAGTGAGGAGTGGCTCTCACCCTGTATGAGGCGGGTGTGAGCTCATGCCAGAAGCCAGCTGCCCAAGCTTTAAATGGAGTGGGCACAAGGAGGCACTGTCTGAACCCCAGACAGGACAGGCATGGCTCTCTGTTGTTGCAAGTGGATGGTCGGAGTTGCAGACAGGGTGGGTGAGAGCAGTGGCAGTAGGAGCCTGCTTTTTTCTTCTTCTCACTGTTGAGGGGCTGGAGCAATGGAGCCCCGAGCAGCTGTCTCCGTTGCTCATTGGCTAAGGTAGTGCCTACCATATCAGTTGTGACCAATCACAAAATGGCTGACACGGCAGCTAGGCTTAATCACAAAACACTGAGAAGTTCTATGAACTGTTAAGGGGTTCCAAGCCAAGGATTCTCCTCTAATAGAGGCAAGCTCTTTCCAAATAGGTGCTTCCTGCAAACACAAGGGTAATGTCCTTTGAGCTCTTCAAAAGCAGCTCTGACATGATGAAAGCTAGGATTGGCTCTTTGCTTTGGGGAAGAGATGCTTTGAAGAGGAAGCGAGTGGAAACCAGCAAGGACACTGACAAGTGTGATGGCACCCAAGGGTACCATCTTGGCATCCACTGTTCTAAATTCAAAGGTTACTTAGCAATTCTACCAGTAGGTGCTCTAGATAGAAATATATAGAAGAATCATCTGTATTAAGACATGGACCATTTAAAATGTTGCTTTTCCAAATTCAATGTTGGCAATGCATTGAAGAAAAAGGTGTTCCTAGTTCTAATGATAGTTTCCACTCTATAACCACCCATCCCACTTTGGGCTTCAATTCAGAATAATGTAGCAAAACTTTCTGTACATGCAGCATCTACCTTTAGTCATTCTTTGGAGAGTATCTTTTAAGAATGGCCCTGCTTTTCATATTGCATGGTATGGATGAATTACATTGCCACAAGGTCACAGCCAGAAACTATGAATGTGGTTGAAAGCACTTTGGGAAACCTGAGCAAAACAATATGGGATAAAGCACTGCTTGATCTAGAATTAGGTAAAAGGCACATGACTTACCAACAAAGCCCTTTAGACTCAATAGCAGGGATAGGTCTGCAAACCCACACCAGTTTTTCTTCAGGTCCATTGCTTCTGCCTCCAATCAGCACTCAGGCTGTGGGATCGCTTCTTTATCTACCACTTTACCGTGTTTCCTTCTATGCTATTTCACATTAGCAGCATCTGGGCAACTAAATGCCCAAAGGCTTGGTCAGGGAAAGGAGGATTTTTGACTTATTTTCTTTGATCCATGCATGCCATATCACAAACTAGATTGCAAATTCCCCTCTGTTGCAAAAGCAGTTTATCATACAGCACAGATGGGGGCTGCTATTCAAAAAACAGGTGCCAAGAATTCTCTGAAATTTCCGTCTCCCTTCAGCAGCATTGCCAATCTCCAGGTGCAGCCTAGTGATCTTCTAAAATTATAACCAATCTCTGGACCACAGTGATCAGCTCCCCTGGAGAAAATAGCTGCTTTGTTGATTATGGCATTATACCCTACTGAGGTCCCCCCCGTCCCTACTCAAACTCTCCCCTCCCCAGGAGACACCCCCAAAATCCCAGGAATTTACCAACCCAGAGTTGGCAGTGTTACCAGTCTGTAGTCCTTTTCATCATTCTTGTCTTACATTGTTATGGCTGCAGTGATAGGATTTATAATTTAGATACATTCCCTTATCTTTACCAATGTTAATGAACTGGGAATTTGTGGACTTGCTCTAAGATCACATGATTTATTTAGATCTAGAACTAGGCTTAGAGGCCTCTGTACCAGATGTTTTAATTGCTCCTTTTAGTAAACTTGCTTTAAGTCACTCCTCATTCTGGTAGACTTCATCTGTGGATCCGGAAATATTGCAATAGCTGCTCAGGAAACGTCTATGATTTGTTTCCATAGTTTGGATGCCCAGTCACATCAGCACAGTGGAGCTCACAGAAGGGACTTTCCTGTTGCAGCCTGTCAAGACTTCCTAAAATTCTGCACTCAAACTGCATGTGGAAGCTGCAGTGGGATGGAAGGAATCACCAAAAACCACCTGCCCTTGCATGGATATGTAGCCTTTCAACAAACAGAAGAGGAGGTTTAGATTGAAGCTTGTATAATTAACAATTTGCTCTACACATTTCTTTGCCACTTCAGCTCTACATTTGGTTTGCCTGACTTTGTGCTTTTTTTTTGTATTGCTGGATTGGTAAACATTATTTTTAAAAGAAAGTCTTGTTTTTAAAGCCTCCCTGACCCTGTTGTTGAGCCATGCCGGCATTCAAATATCCAGGTGTTGGTACAAACAAGCCTTATATGTCTTCAGGGGCATTGGGTTGCTGACTCTGAGTTGGGAGATATCTCAAGATTTTGGGGGGGGGTAAAGTCTGGGGAGCGCATGGTTTGGGGAGGAAAGTGAGCTCAGTGGTTATAATGCCATGCAGCCCATCCTCCAAAGCACTTCAATAGAAGCTTTATTCTGTTTGAGAGATGTTCTTCTCCATTACTTATGCAATGAAATAGGTGAAACTATTGAACTCCATGTGAATTGGGCAGCTTTTCCATTGAAGTGCAATTTTTCATACATCATCAACTTATAGACTCTTGGTAAGACCACCGTCCCATTGTTGTCATCTTCTATCTTTATGTATCTGAACTTACACATAAGCTTCACCCTCCAAAGCAGCCATTTTCTCCAGGGGAGCTGACCTCTGTCAGCTGGAGATCAGTTGTAATTCCAGGAGATCTCCAGGCTCCACCTGGAGATTGGCAACCCTATCAAATGGAAAAATCCCAGCATCTAGAAATTTCTCCCCTTCCTCCTTTCTCATTCTTCTTCTCAGGGATGGAGCAGGAGAGGCTGGCATAAGAGGAGTAAATCAAGTAAGAGATCACAGCATAGTTCTGCTAAGAACAGCTGCTCTTGGCAATAGGTAATGCTCCACACTGTGTGTGCCTGGAGGAGGCTTTCAAGTACTTTGATAGATCTGTGTGCCGTTCCCCCTGTGGAATTTCCATGCATGCATAATATTTGTCCTGAATTAGCACCAAGATAAAAGTCAGCCAGAAGTTCACAGAACTATTATTTCTACAGTTTTAGCATTACATTATAAAAAGAGATTCCAATTTGTTTAATAGGCAGATTTAGATTATGGTGACACAAGAAAATATGGGTTATCAAATTATTAAGTGGATTTTGCTATTTTAATTTATATGATAAATGAAGCATTGAAAATTGCCGTCAAGTTAAAAGTGAAGGGGTGACTTAAGAAATGGAATGGGAAGTGGCCTTTTCAACCTCAACAAGAATTTGTGCTTATCAGAGGTGCTTTCCAAAAACGCATTACCCTCCTTTACATGTTAAAAAACCTTGCTGCTGCCAGCAGGTGGCAGCAAAGTGAAGCAAGAACTATATGAATGAAGAGTAGAAATCTGCATTTTAACTTTTATTATAGAGGCAGATCAAGATGGGTAGTCGTGTTAGTCTGTCTGTAGCAGTAGAAAGGAGTAACAGTCCAGTAACACCTTAAAGGCTAACAAAATTGTTGCAGGGTATGAGCTTCGTGAGCGATCAGTGACTCATGAAAGCTCATAAAAAGGTAAAGCCAGTCGAATCCGACTCTAGGGTTGCAGTGCTCATCTCCATTACAAAGCCAAAGAGCCAGCGCTGTCTGAAGACGTTTCCGTGGTCATGTGGCCGGCATGACTAAACCCCAAGGCGCACGGAACGCTGTTACCTTCCCTCCGAAGCGGTACCTATTTATCTACTTGCAATTTCTTGCTTTTGAACTGCTTGGTTGGCAGGAGCTGGAACTAGAGACGGGAGCTCACTCCGTCATGCGGCAACCCGGGTCTCGAACTGCTGAACTACTGACCTTCCACAGCCTGCAGTTCAGCGTCTTAACCGCTTGAGCCACCGCAGCTCCATGAAAGCTCATACCCTACCATAAATGTTGTTAGTCTTTAAGGTGCTACTGGACTCTTACTCTTTTCTACTATTATAGAGGCGGGTCAGGTTACTTCTCAAACTCCTGGAAGCATAAACTCAATGCTGCAGAACTGGACAATTCCATGCAAAGTTTTATGGGAACGTTCCTACTTTGGAAATTCTGCACAGATCTTGGAAATAATTAGGTTGTCTGGATTCATGGGCTTGGCTAGTGCAGGACTCTGTACAAAGGACGGAGGGACAAAAGACTGGCAGAGAAATCACCTGCTAGATCCTCTGGCTAATTTTAAAGAAGCCGTGTCAGATACTTCAGGCTTGCCAGCAGGGACTTTACAGCAACCTATTATACTATTAAGTTCCTATGGTTCTCTGTTTGCTTTCCTTCCTGTCCTTGAAACGTTCCTCAGTAATAAAAGGGCCACAAGATGGGGTTCAGTGCCTGCACTCTTCCCCTTGTCCAATGCTCCACTGTCAGAATTTGTTCTGATGAAAGGGAATAACTTCGACACCACTTAGGTTTGAGAGTCTCAGGGGCAACATAAGCAAAATATACGGGCTTTAGTCACCCTCAGCAGGGTCCATGCAGATGTTCAGTGGGAACTGATCTGCCCAGAAGGGAAGCCACTCAAGAAGAAGCAAAGGAGATATTCCGCCAAAGTGGCAGAAACCCCAGTGCTTTCCTGCTAACAGAACAAAGGAGTGCTCCTTTCACTTTGGTTGCTCTGCTGCCTTCTGTACATGAGCACATTCTTGTCCCAGTACTACGACTGAGACAGAATGAGAACTGTGGTGGAAACAGGAATAGCGGAAACCTGCTGCGAACAAAGGCTCCTGTCTCCTTCAAGCCTCCTCCCAAACTAATGATCCCTAGCAATCAATGCAACTATAAATAGGAGGCTTCATGCACCATCTTAGTTTCCACACAGACCAAAGAGGAAGTTCAATTTTAATTTGGCAGAGAATATCATCAGCTGCCAAGAGCATGTTTGTATCACTTTAACTATCACTGGTAGTACCAAAGGATCCTGGAATATGTAGCATGGCAAAGGTACTGAGAGTTCTGGGAGAGACTCAGGGCTTTCCCCTCTCTGCAGAATACGGTACACTGGGAGAGGGAATGATAGTTAACTATTGTTAATGAAAAGAGAATTAAAATGGCCTGTTTCAAATTATGTGTCTCTAGTCCACTCTGTCTGTTGCGAAGAGTCGGACTCGACTGCGTGACTGAACAACAAAAAAGTCCACTCTGTCTCGGTGGTATTCAAAACAAGCTTTCACATCCAACCCACTCAGTTTTATCTTGCTTTATTTCATCTTGCCCATCATTCACCGAAACTAGAGGGTCAGCCTGAAGAATTCTCAGAGGTTCTATGTACTTTGCATATTTTCCCCCAAAAGCGACTGGTCCAGTAAGAGATATCATTTCATTTGTCTATTTATACATTTATTAGCCCCTTTCCCCAAAAGAGAGTCAAAGCAAATTAAACAAGAGAAGGGACATACTTGTTTGTGTCCTCCCATTTGCCACCAACATACGAGGAACTAATTTTGAGACCTTTAAGGGGCCACTGGACTCAAAATTTGTTCTACTGCTTCAGACCAACATGGCTGCCCACCTGACTCTATACTAGTAACTAAGCAGTGCTACACCCTTCTACGTCAAAGTCAATGGGCACAGAAAGGTGTAACTCTACTGTTAGTAACTATACTTGGAATGCATCCTGTTCTCATAGTTTACTTTCATTATTGTTTGATCTGATGCAGGGATAGCTGACCTAGCCTTCTTAGGTTGTAAATCTTCACTACTTGTACAAAAGGGGAAGTTTTTTTAGTGGACGAAACTACATTGGACTGTGGAGAGTGGAAAATATGTACCTGTCAGGTATGTAGTTACAGGAAGCACGGAAGACCTAGCGCTGAAATCCTGACAATCATAGGTCTAATTCTGAACTTGATCCAGAGTGCAGATTAGAAAATCAGCACAATGGAGCCACATAGTGACAGGGCAGATATTTCTGCAGATCAGATTTGCAGAAAATTCTTAAATGTTTAAAAACAAAACTGGAGGTCTAAACTTTGCTTCCCAATAGTAAAAGGGTGGACAGTGCATACTTAGACAGCTGGAGGGGTGGGATGCTTAGTGGCATTTTGGCTTCTCAGAGCAATCTAGAAGGGTGCCTGGTAACGAGAAGAGTTGAGTAGCGGGAAAAGCCAGTCTTTGTGTGTGTGTGTGTGTGTGTGTGTGTGCGTGCATGTGTGTGTGTGTGTGTGTGTGTGAGGAAGTGGCACGAGGGAGGAAAGATCAAGCAGTTGGGGTAGGGGGGATATAGAGAAAAACACTGGGACAGTCCTTTCAAATCACGGGCTGTGAGTAGAAAGGACAACTATTCTACTAGATTCCCTGATGTAGCTAACATGAAGCATTATTAATTTAATCAATATCTGCTGTCTTTGATTGCACCCTTGGCTTTTTGCCCACTTTTTCCAGGGTGTGGGGTGGGATGGGGTTTGTGTGGGCAGCTGAAAGAGAAGACGGTAGGGAAGCTGGGGAAAGTAGGATTTCCCGTCTCCCGCAAGCTCTTATGGGTCCATCTTTCGCAGCCATCTTTGGCAGTTAAAGAGCATCTGCTGGGATTGTTCCAGCAGCTGCCACCCTCAAGCAAGCTGAAAACAATCAGCAACATTTTGCTGTGGGCCCCCTACTGTTTCTAATCTAAAGTTGTTGTGTTGTCTAATGTTTCCTTGAAGCAATGACTCCTCCTAAGCGGCAGTGTTTTGCCAGTGGCACAGAGGTATCAAAGCCCTCCTGTTGCTACTCCTTAAAACAGTCCACACTAACTTAACCGCTTTCTTCTCCTGAAAAATCCCAGTGTGAATTAACTCATTTCTTTTCTTTTCCATACAGTCACCAGTGGACTAAGTTGCCTGGATCAGATTTCATACAGGATCATTTCGCCAAGCAGCTTTTACCTAGATTAGATCTGTACAGCCGCCCTGAGCCTGCGTGCGGGGAGGGCGGGGTATAAATGAAATAAAATAAATAAAATAAATAAACTTACTTCTTCTCTCAAGTTTCATCTCCTAGTTTTGTTTTTGTCTTTGCTGCTACAGAATTTGACAGGGTTAAGTAAAATGGGCATAGGATTGAGCCTTCATCTCTCTTTATATTCCTTGCTCCATCACAAGGTCGGTCTAAGCTGAGGTAGCTGAACCTTCGGTGGCACAGGGAGAACAGAGCAATCCAGTTCATTTTGTTCAAACTGCCGTCAGTCATGGGCAAAGAGCATTAATCCTGGTTAGAATGGTCAAGGAGCTAACAAGACACTGAACTGATGAGGCAATAAGCCACACTTACTTGCAAGGCTGTGTGAAACTGGCCTCTTGAATGATACCATTCCAAGATCGCCCCTGCCTTCCCACTCAACTAATAAAGCAGCATGGAGCGTGAATGAAAACAGCAGCATGTGAAGCAAGGTGGCCATCATAGCTGGGAGAACTTCATCTATAGATATAAGCCCTTAAATTGACAGTAAAGACATATTTGCCATACAGGGAGAGCAAGCTGAATGTCACAAGGACAACTGGATAGGCTTGTACTTTGATCCCCTCAAATCTTACTCCCTCCTTAATGTACCCTTATACAGTAAGGGCTGTTTTATTCTTTATGTGTTGGACAGCTTTCTTAAGTATCCACTGTGCATCATGCAATGAGCACCATAAGATTCAAAGGGAGATACATTACTGTGAACACATGGGTATTTCTAGGTAACGTGCACCAGGGAGCATGGATTTGGGTATGGGTCCCAGGCACGTTGCAACTGCATCATCTGATACATGGATCTCCCTTTCAAATGTACAGTATTCATTTCACAGACACATGGTGGGCAGGCTGCAACATGCCTGCCAGGTATAATGGCTGCCAACCTCAAGTTTTGATCAGATTGACTTTAAACTTGTGTCCTGGATGCATCCATTTCAGCTGTGCTCTACACACTGATACTAACTTATGTATTGCCTACCTTATGGTGCCGCCTCCTTCTCCTGAACCTGAGCAGCTCTTTGTGCTGCCGGGACACAAAGTTGACAGCAGCATATTCCAGAAGAGCTGAGAACACAAACAGCAGGCACACAGCCATCCAGATATCAATGGCCTTTACATAGGACACCTGAAAAAAGAGGCAACAGATCAGATTAAGGTGCTTTGGCTCAGTATAGCAAAGTTAAAAAACAACAACATTCCAACTTATCCAAGTTTGGCTTGGTGAAGGTGGATCACTTCCCTATTGGGACTAACAACACTGCCATCATTTTCAGTCTCTGTTGATTTTCACAACATTAGTAGGCCAAATAGGCATTCAGATGGGTGAGAGTGAGATAGAAGCAGACCCAAATGGGAGGCTTTGGTCAGAAACCTACAATAAATCAAAGTCCCAATAGATGCTTTCCTGGACCCCAACTGTCTGCTTTTTGTTTATGAGAAATATGTCTTATTTTTTAAAAAGAAGACCGTATTCCATTTATATCTTGTCTTCCTCCAGGAAACTCAAGAGAAACACACATGGAATTTGAAAATGGTGTTCTGGCTAGGAGTTGGTGAGGCCCAGACCGGATTGGTTTCAGCCAGTTTGAGTGTGCATCCTTAACACAATTTGGATTGGCATGCTGGTTAGAATGCTACTTTTCATTTGGTAATTCACATTACAAAGTCTCAGTCCAGTGGCACTTTCAAGACCAACAAGTTTTAATTCAGAGTATAAGCTTTTGTGTGCATGCACACTGCTTCAGGGCGCGATCACACGCAGAATTAGCCCTGCCATAGGTGCGAATGCCGGGCGGATTTAAAGAGTGCAATCAGACACAAACATCTGATAAACGCCCCACACCCATCGGCAACCCGTTTTGCTCTGCCACAGAAGCAGAGTAAAAAGACACCAGAAAAAATCTGGTAGTAAATGGGTTGCGATAGGCCACAGACGGAGTTTCCCATGTCTGATCACTCCAGCACACTCTCATGGTGTCGGGATGGTCTGATCAGGCCATCCTTGACTCCGTGCCGTTGTTCTTTCCCTCCTTCTCAGTATGCACATCATCGCATACTCCATAGGGAGACCTCAGTGCAGTGATGCAATTAATCAATTACTCATGTCAGCGCATCGGAAACAAACAGCAAAAACAACAACAACCCGACTCATCCACGGTTGTGTCTGATCACACAGTGGCGGGCTGTTCCTGCAGCTTCCAAGGACTGTGTGATCACGCAACTGCGGGTCAAATTCCTCCGAAGGAAATAGCCTCACTCCCCCCCCCACTTTATCTCGTGCATGTGACCGCCCTCTTGGATACATTGAAACAGACTTCGCCAACCATTACATATAGATAGAGAGAGGGTGGGTGTGGGCTAGTTGCCAGGAAGGGCTAATTGGATTCAAGAAGCATAAGTAACTGAGCAATAAATATAGCTAAGATTGGATTAAAGCAGTTGGTAAAACCTGTGAATAGCAGTAAATTAGACTGCAGATAATCAAAGAGTTAACAAACAGATGTGAGAACTGAGTGACGTAGCATGTGTAGTGAGCTAAGACCCCGATGATATCTGTTAAACCCTGGGAGTTCTGTTGTCCTGTTGTAATAACATATAATTTAGCAATCGCCTGTTCTAGTCTGCTTCTGAAATTCCTTTGCAATAAAACAGCTACTTTGAGGTCCCCCACTGAACATCCTGGGAGGCTGAAAGTGTTGGCATTTAATGACAACAGTGCCTTTGTTCTCTACATAGGGCAATCAGGTCAAACCCTATGCCAGAGGATAAATGGACACAAATCTGACATCAAGAATCACAAAACTGAGAAACAGAAAAACATTTAATCCTCTCAGGCGAAGTCTGTTTTGATGTACCTGAAGAAGTGTGCATGCACACAAAAGCTTATACCCAGAATTAAACTTTGAGTGTGATCACACTGGCAGCTTAGTGTGATATGGTGCCACCTTTAATTGTACCGGTTTAAAATCTTGCAGGGCATATCATCCAGACAGCACACCCTGCTGTGGGTTACCCACGTGGCTGTCCCCTGGTCAAGCACCCACATTATTGCAGCTCCTCAGCCATGTGTCAGCAAGCTGCCATGGTGTTCTGTGTTACTTGTATCTCTGTACAGTTGCTAACCCCCCCACGCCAGCGGGAATGTGACCCATTGGTTCTGTACCTGTTTCAAATCCCTTTATCATGCTTGCTCTAACCGTTTGTAGTCAGTTCTAACAAAGAACGTGTTTGAGTATCTTTCCAATGCTTTGAAATAAAATCTTGCTGTTTAAAACGTGGATTTATTCTCGATGCTTGGGAACCCAACATATATGTCATTTCTGCAAGACTGAAGGGAGCCGCCGCCACTTGGTATGTCGGGCTGCACAATGAACGCGGCCCCGAACTGTTTAACCTGAGGGCGTTCATGTGGGCGCTGCGAGCTCGTTTTGAGGATGTTAATGCAAGTCAAAGAGCAAAAGCTTTTCTTCGCACATTCCGCCAGGCCAAGAAGTCAGTACGCGAATACACCCTGGAGTTCCACAACCAGGCAGCGAAGTTGCGGGACTGCCCGGACCACATCCTGGCAGAAATGTACCGGCTGGGGCTTAATGCGGAAATCAGGGAGACGGTGTTACGGTCA